AGAGAGAGAGAGAGAGAGAGAGAGAGAGAGAGAGAGAGAGAGTTGGAGATTTATGTGAGGTAAGATGACTCCTCAATAGGTAAAAGTACTTGTCATAAAAGCATGACAATGTAAAATTGACAAAGTCTGAATATGGTGGTATTCCCAGCACTCTTACAGCAGAATGGAGATAGAAGCAAGAACATCAGCAGAAGTCTACACAACACAGAACTAATAACAGGAGATCTTGCCTCAAAAGTAGGAAGAGAATTGGCAAAAAAAATTCCTCTTGCTTCTGTGTGTGCACCATGGCCTGTGGTCACCTGCGAACACACATGCAATAATTATAAGTTTTAAATATAAAACAATTCTATTTAGATAGTCGGTATATTATCTTTTTATATCACTTGTAAATGCAACCACTATGTATTGTAATCAGATTGTAACAGTTATATCTGTTGGGTCTATTATTGTATGTTTTTGTAGACAATTGAAACAAAATAATGTTGTTTGGGATTTTAATTAATCTCTTGACTATGGCAATTTCTCCAAACAGAGTCTATAGATCTGTGATGCTTTTCTAATGGCAGATCCCAGTTTTGTGATCAGAGTTGTAGAATATCGTTATATTAGCTTGTCCTCTCTGAATGGGTCATAATGGTAACAAAAGAGTTTGTCTTTCAGTAAAGGAATGCTGTTTTAATATTGCCTCTGCCATATGTGTTTTTGTCTTAACTAGAGTGAAATGGATTCTGAAAACTTCTCTATAAGTTAATTTCATAATGCTTTTATGTTAATGTGTAAAATTACTTTTGTAAAGATAGAAACCAAATGTATTTGGGTTCTCTAGTGGAACAGAACTTATAAAATGAACTCTGTGTATGTGTGTGTGTGTATGTAGATATGTTTATATAGATGGAATTTAACGTGTGTGTGTGTGTGTGTGTGTGTGTGTGTGTGTGTGTATTTATTAGAATGCCTTACAGGCTGTGGTCCAGCTAGTCCAGCAATGGCTGTCTACTCATGGAAGGTCCAACAATCAAGTGGTTGTTCAGTCTAGATGTCTCAGCTGGTCTTCAGTATATGACTTCTGAATCCTGAAGAAATAGGCTCTAATGCCAGTGAAGGAATATACTTACTAATGAGCAGGAGCAAGCAAGCAGTCAAAGAGCAAGCAGGCCTCCTTCTTCTGTGTCCTTTTATATAGGCTGGCAGCAGAAGGTGTGGCCCAGATTAAAGGTGGATCTTCCTACCTCAAAGATCCAGATTAAAAGTGGATCTTCATACTTCAAATAGTTTAATTAAGAAAACAATCCCACACAGGTATGTCCAGATGCTTGGGTTTTAGTTAATTACAGATACAGTCAGGTTGACAATCAAGGGTAGACATCATATGAAAAAAAATAATTATAATGGTCCTGAAACAAGTATGAATATAACAAGGAATTTTGAAAAGTTAATGTATTGCTCAGTTTTGAATACATGTAACAGATTACTTCCTTTTTATAAATCAGTAAACAGAAACAGTCACTTTGCTTCAAAAATTTTACATAGTCTAACCTAAAACTGAAATCTAAACTATTAGTAGTTTTCTAAAGAGTGTAGAATTCTGTTTAATTTTAATTTTTAATTTTAAAAGGGTTTGTGGCAGATTTATTTGTTAGGTATACAGTGTTTAGGCCAGAAAGGGCATCATATCTCATTATAGATGGTTGTAAGCCAATATATGGTTGCTGGGAATTGAACTCAGAACCTCTGGAAGAATAGCCTTTACTCTTAACCTCTGAGCCATCTCTCTAGCCCTACTTTTTTCTTAAAAATTTATTAGATTAATATGTGTGGGTGTATATGTGCACGCTGAGGCACATGTGTGGAAATCCAAAGACAGCTGTGAGGAATTAGGTTTCCTTCCACGTTATAAGTCCCAAGGATCAATTCGTGTCATAAGGCTTGGTAACAAGCACTTTTTATCCACTGAGTGATTTCACTGGCTCCTCCTTTTCTATTTTCTTATCATTCTTTTCTAATTCCCCTTGTTGACCGTCTTTTTGTTATTTTAACATTGTCTTTCTAGTCTAATAATGTTTAAATAAAGCTGGTTAGTTTTTATAATAGAGCATAAAATGGTGACCAGTATGTGAAGAGTGTGGTCTTTGTTGGACCATCCATGGTCCAGTTGAAATTTAGTCAGAGCTTCATTGTATCCTCTCCCAAGTAGTAGTCACTTCCGTACTCCTGAGAATCTTTATAACTATTTATACTCTAGTTTCAAATTCTCATGTGCTTCCTGCCATGCTCTTTTAGGCCAGCAGCCATGATTCTATTATCTATGACCAAAAGAGGAAAAAAAAAAAAATAGGTCACTCTGTAACCTACTAGAGTATTTTAATCAAAATAATTTTAGGGCTGGTAAGAGGGCTCAGTAGCTAAAATGCCTGCCATGCAAGCTTGAGGACTTGAGTTTGGATTCCTGTTGCCCACATAGAAAGCCAGGCTGTGGCTGTCTGAACCTGTGACCCCAGTGCTAAGAAGACAGAGACAGGAAGATTTGCATGGGGTTGCTGGCCAACCAGTCTAACCAATTGTAAGTTCTGGATTCAATGAAAAAAGACTTTGTCTCAGCTGGCGGTGGTGGCACACACCTTTAATCCCAGCACTCGGGAGGCAGGCTGATCTCTGTGAGTTCGAGACCAGCCTGGTCTACAAGAGCTAGTTCCAGGACAGGCTCCAAAACCACAGAGAACCCCTGTCTCAAAAAANTGTCTAAAAAAAAAAAAAAAAAAAAAAAAAAAAAGGAAGACAGCTGACACCAGTCAGCTTCCCTGTGCACCTCCACACATCCAAATTTTTTTGTTTTAATATTTGCTTCAGTGTTTAATACTACATGACTTTTTTTTGTCTCTGGTGTTAATAGTTAGACTTGAAAAACCATTTTGAATATGAAATATAATTGGTACTATTCATATTACCTTCTGAAATTTTAGAAATGATCTTTATTATGATATTGTAGAAATTTCATTCAACACTGGTATTAAGCAGCAGTTACGTCTTTGGGGTCCTGAAACATGCAGGTATATTCTTGAAACTTTGTAACTTCTTAAGTATTTCCTTAAATTTTTCATTTGGTAACTTCAGATTATGAGAAATAGTATATAAAAACAGCATATTTTATTCAGTTAGTCTCTGCTTGGAGCATTTTACTTCTATGTATAACTTTAAAGGATAAGAGCTACCATTTACAGATTCCTCTGAAGTTTTCTGGATCAGAATCATTGTTCTTACATCATTGATAGTCCCTGGGAGGTTTGCTTTTTGAGCAAAGCTTTAGCAGTATTAGTTGTAGTTTTTTGTTTGTTTGTTTGTTTGTTTGTTTTTTTGTTTTTTCGAGACAGGGTTTCTCTGTGGTTTTGAAGCCTGTCCTGGAACTAGCTCTTGTAGACCAGGCTGGTCTCGAACTCACAGAGATCCGCCTGCCTCTGCCTCCCCAGTGCTGGGATTAAAGGCATGCACCACCACCGCCTGGCTGTAGTTAGTTTTTTAAACTAGTGCTTTTTTAAACCATTACTAGTGGAATTTAAATTATTTAAAGATTATATTAAATATATAGATCTTATAACTTTTATTGTAAGTTATTATTTATACAGTTGCTCCAAATCTTACTTTCCAATGACTTGATTTTTTTCAGGCCCCAAATCCTCACCAGTCCATCTCCTTCAAAATCCATTCCAATTCCACAGCCCTTTCGACCAGCAGATGAAGACCATCGAAATCAGTTTGGGCAGCGAGACCGGTCCTCTTCAGCTCCCAATGTTCATATAAACACAATCGAACCTGTCAATATTGATGTAAGTACTAGCATTGCTAGAACTACACAATTCAGGTGTATTTCTTTGTTTCTCTGTTATATTTTTAATACAGATTGGAAATAAATGCCACCTTTCATTTATCATTTAAATGCTAGGTTTATATGAATTATAGATTCAGAAACCCTGTCATCTTGTATGACAATATTAAATACATCACTATTGCCAAGTTAGTTATCTTCATTTTTTTCTAACACAATCTCTGAAAAAGTTTTAAAATAAAATGATTTTAATATGAGAATTAATAGAAGCACTTTTGTGAATTTATGAAGTCCTCTCTTAAGATTTTTGTACAGTTATAAAAATGACATTAAGAATTTATTTGTTTTGTCATGAGTTTGGCATTATAACCAACAAAAGCAATTCTACATTCATATTTTAAATCATATAGTTGGAACTATAACTTAAATTTTATTAACTGAAATACCTTGTTAGAAATTTAATTTAATTATCACGATAAATCACGAGTAAAGAATTCTAAAATCAGACTTTCTTCTTACTTTTTATTATGTTTTCCCCCCCTATATATTTAGGAGAGTAAGTTAATTTAAGTGGCTTTTTCCTAGTACCATTCTTAACTAAGGCCATCTTGTCTATATGTTGACCTAAATACAGAAGAAGTGAGAAGTAGGAGAGGAAGATAGAGAATAAGGAGCTTGGGAAATAAAATGTCAAAGGATATTTGTAGATTAGGGGTATTCTTGGTGTGCTCAAGCTTGTAATTGTCATATGTATTTGAAAACAAACATCTTTTTTTCCCTTTTTTTCTGATTGTGATTGACCTCCTGGATTCTTGGGCTTGGCTATTTGAAGACTCACTTCGTATCTTACTCTTTCATCCTTTTCATAACTGCCATAAGTAACATAGTCCATTTTCCTCTTTATGTGTGTCCATTTGACTCCATGATCCTTTATTTGAACAATTTACTGCATTTATTCCTAGCATTAATTTTTCTTCATGTCCTTCCTGGTGCTCTCACTAGGATAATTTTTTAATGACATTTTTATCATCTATTCTCTTGTTTGAAAGCTTTTAGTAACTTAAAATTTTTTATTCATGCTCAGTCACTTTTTCTCTGAGAAAAAAGACTTTTGGCTCTGGACTCAGCAATTACGGATTTAAGATGAATTAACACACCATCTTTGTGCTCTATGATGTCACAGTTTATTGCATGAATCAAACATGCAAATAATCACAAAAAATATGCTAGTTTACAGAAGGGGTGTGATGAACTCTATCTGATTGGATGTAGGTATATTTAGCAGTAAAGGGATGACCTTGAAGCTATACCATAGAAGGTAAATGGCTAGGGATTTATTAAGTACACTATATAGGGAATTTTTTTAAGGTATTAAGGAAATAATACATACAAGGTTGTAGAGTTACCTTTACCTGGAAGGAATTAATAGTTGATATCTTAGGAGTTCAGGGTTCAGGAGAGGGCTGACAGATAATGGAAGGAGAAAGTAGGAAATGTCAACACTGATTGATATCTTATATTTCTCTTAAGTGGTGGTAGGAGTGCTGAAACACATTTGGAGGGGACTACAACTCACTATGTAGCCCTAAGTGGTCTTGAACTTGCTTCCTCCCTCATCATCTTGAGTAGTAGGTTTATAAGTATGGTGGTATACCATATCTGACCAAAAACACATTTTGAGTGTGATAAATCATCTCAGTATTTCAGAAAAATCTTTAGTAGTAGTCTGGAAGGTGGATCAAATGGGTAGCATATGTTAAGGGCAGAACTGTCAGCAGTGTGGCTTTTGCTGTATTCCAGTCAAGATATGATAAATGTTTGAACTCAAGTAGTAGCATTAGTGGTGAGAGAGGAGCAAATGAGTTGAGGGAGAGGAGATTATGGTGGTAGGGGTCTTAGAAGTCATGGAAATGGCTGAGTACTTACTGTGTGTGAGGTACTCTGCTAATTGCTTTATATAAGTTTTCTTGGTCAAGCCTCATGAGAAACATTGTCTTTATCTTATTCTGAAGGATATTCAGTTTAAAAGAGTCTAAGAAACCAACCCATGATCATATAGCTAATAAATGACTGAAATGTAATTCAGTCATTTAAACCTGGCTTTCTTTTCTTGAACTTATCCACTATATATCAGTAGAGGAGAAAGGTTAAAGAGAAGCAGAAGATAACAGTTGACTTTTTGGCATATAGATACTTGGCTATAAACCAAGACAGGGTTTATAGAAAAATTACAGTTTTGTATTTTATCCAGGCTTTAGGATATCTGTGGGAATATTAGGACCTCAAGTGGAGATACAACTTGAATAAAATCAGTGTGTCTGTGTCAATCAGAGCCATGAGTATAAATTATGTTACTCAAAGAGTATATAAATTGGAAAGAGTAGAAAATATAAACCTGAAGAGAAAAAGAAAACGTATCCTGGTGAATCTTAACATTGTAACAGAGACCATTTCTCAGTTAACCTTTGTGAGTTCTTTCCAAGTGTACATCAGATACCAAGCAAATGGCTTCAAAAATGCTGATGGAGTCAGTTAAGAGCACTGGCTGTTCTTCCAGAGGTCCAAAGTTCAATTCCCAGCAACCACACTGTGTCTCACAACCATCTCTGGTGGTATCTGATGACTGCTCTGACATAAAGGTGTATACTCACACATAAAATAAATAAATCTTATTTTAAAAATTGCTGATGGAGAGGATGCCACTTACTCTCAAGATTCAAATGAGATAAGGACTAAAATGAGTTTTTTTTTTTTAACAAATACCATGGAGCTACGTGACTGATAAGATGTTCCAGCTGATAAAAAAAATACCTGCTACATACCAGGTGGTGGTGACACATGCCTTTAATCCCAGCACTCATATGAATCTCTGCAAGTTAGAAGCCAACATAGTCTACAGACCTAGTTCCAGGACGGACAAGCTATACAAACAAACCCTGTCTTAAAAGAAAAGGGAAAAAAGTACCTACAGTAGAGGGAGAGACCTAACTCCAGCAAGTTGGCTTCTGACTTCCACACAAACTGTGGCACATGCTTGTGTGTACACACACACACACACACACATATACACACAGACACACTTTTAACATGTATGCCTTGGGCTCAGTCCCTCAGGACCAACCATTAATTTTTAAGTCTTTGGGGCCAGGTGTGGTGGTGCTCACCTTAATCCCAGTACTCAAAGGAAGCAGATTTTCTAAGTTTGTGGCCAGCCTAGTCTACATAACAGGTTCTAGGCCAGTGAGAGATCATAACTCAAACAATCAGCAACTAAATAGAAAATTTTAAGTTGTTTTGATTTCAAAGATAAATAGAATAGGAGGAGGCAAGAGAGGAAACGGATCGTCAGTTTTGAGAAACTTGACTGTATAGGAATGACAAAAGAGCTGGAGCTTGACTCATACTTGAGTAACAATTGTTTTGAAACTAAGATTTCAGCAAATTTTATAACTGAGAAAAAGAACCTAATGAAGAGAGGTTGAGGTAGTAAGTAGAGAATTTTTGATAAAATTCTTTGAACTTGAAAATGATGCCTTGCAGGGGCTATAATAAATTAAAGGTAGATAATCTTTATACACACTGCATGAAATAGGGCATAAACCCTAGGGCTGGTATCAATTGATTTTTTTTTTTTTCTTATTTTGCTTCATTTTGTTTGAGAAGTAGCCCTGGCTGGCCTGGAACTTCTATGTAAATCAGTCTGGTCTCAAATGCAGAGATAACTCCGCTTCTGCCTCCTGAGTGCTAGGCTTAAGATGTGCACCACCATGTTCAGCGCTTGATATGTTGGGGGTTTTAAGGGCGGTTACAGTACATGTCTTATTCAAAAAGACACATAACCAGAGCAACTCTTACCAAAGAAAGCATTTTATTGGGGGCTCACTTACAGTTCCAGAGGTTTGGCCCATTATCCTCATTGTGGGGAGCATTGTGGCATGCACGCAGGTTCTGAAGCAGTAGTTGAGTTTTACATCTGATATACAGGCAGACTGACTGAGTCTGGCATTGGCTTTTGAAACCTCAAGGTGCACCTCCAGTGACATACTTCCTTCAACAAGGCCAGACCTACTCCAGCCTAATCCTTTCAAACAATTACAGTCCCTTGTGACTAAGCATTCAAACCTATGAGCCTGTGGGGGCCATTCTTATTCAAACCACCACAGTACATAAAAGGAACTTAAAAGACAGCCAGGCATTGTGGTGCACACCTGAAGTCTTGGCACTGGGAGGTAGAGGCAAGAGGATCTGGAGTTGGAGGCCAGCCTGTGCTATATCATACCTTGGAGAGGGAAGAAAAGAGAGAGCTATAACTTTAGAAGTTATAGCTGATGCTACTGTACAAATGTTCATAGATAGCAAAGGTATTGCCAGAATCTTGAGTAGTTTGTTTCTTTTGTGATGCTGAATCAGAGGAATGTGAGACAAGGGAATAGAAGAAATTAGGGGGACAGTTGAAACAGTAGTTGTAGAATACTAGAGTACCCTATTTAACTTAGATTCACAAGGAGCTTTTAAGAGCACAAGTGAGATTGAAAAGTGTGAGCTTAGGTTGGGCCTGGTAGTTTTTCTAAGAGTGGAGAAAGCTACATTCGACCATAGCTATACGAAGTTTGAGAGCTAGTGTAGGTAAACAGGGAAGAGGTGGGTCCTTCTGTCTAGGAAGCCCTTTGCTTTTCTTCATGCCAGTCTATTCCTCAGATTTCTTCGGCTGCTTCGCCAATGCCAAAATCCTAGTGCCATTTCTTTTACATCATGGTCACCACTTCTTATAGACATGGAGACTGGAAGCCCAGTATCAGGATCGCCAAATCATCGTAGTCTTAATGTCTGTCAGTAAAAGTCTTGTCAACACCACTTAAATGGTAGTGAATTGGCAACAAACTGATCTCTCTTTTAGTCTTAAGCTTGTCGTTTATTTTCCATGTGTCTGCATCTCAGTGTGTTTGTAAGTTCTTAAAACCACCAAGATTTTTATGTAATAGTAGCTAGACAACCCCAACACATAGGTCATTGTTTGAAATTGAGTATTAATTATTCTGTAGATAGTGTTGAAAGTTTTGTGTAGTACATTGAACATGATAGAAATATACCAGTAGAGAATTTACTCTTTTACTCAGTAAGTCTAATTGCAAATGATGCCTATTTGCAAATAACCTTTTTAGAGACATTTGGACCCATTCAGTCCCTCACACTTAAGTTAAACTCAGTAAACGAATCCAAGTTCCAAGGAATATGATCCAAATTTCATTACATATGAAATTTCCCCTACTACCAACATTGTTGTAAAAGCCGTGTTTTAAATAGAGACCAATTTAAACAAAATCCTTATTTGAGCTATTTTGAGTCCCATCTCCTTTTTAATGTTGTACATTCACATTTTTATGATAGTATTAAATGTACTTTTGATTTTGTATTTTTTATTATATGTAACATGTTTCATATTTTAAGTTTTTTAATTGTTTTGGTAACTGCATACTACTCATTAAATTGATACATCATAACCATAATATGTCAAAATGCCTATCATAGGAAAATAATTATTTCTGGTTTTTGGTGTGATGGATAATGCTGCACTAAACATCTTTGTGCATATCATTTTTTCTTCTGAATTATTTCCTTAGGAAAAATTCCCAGAAGTGGAATTACAGGATCAAAGGGTATGAACATTTTTATGGCTCTTAATATGTGCCAGTAGAATTTTCTTTAAGAATTGATGAAGCCATTGAGTGGCCTGAAATGGATTTCAGCATTTGATTGGAACTAATAATCCTTTCACATAGGGCTAGGCTGGTTTAGTGTTTATCATGTACACTAGCTAATTTCATAGCCTTTGTTTTGTGAAATAATTATAAGACAGGTATTGTTTTGAATTAACCCATCTGCTAATGCATAGTGAAAAATTCATTTATTAATCCTTTTTTACTGTGTGCTTTAAATAAATGTATTTTACTATTTGTTTGTAGGATTTGATTAGAGACCAGGGGTTTCGTGGTGATGGAGGTAAGTAGTGATTTTAGTTTATTTTTTTAAAGGCAAAAATGCAATTGCTTTGCTGCTTGTCTCCTTTATAGTTGCTTTTTTTTCATGAAACAGACACAGAGAAAAATGTGTAGAGAAAATCAAATGGGTTTTTGTTTTGTTTTTTGTAGCAGTTACCATTTACTGCTAGCAGAATTTAAAATTATTCATAACATGTAGAGAAAATGAGACAACATAAAAGAAAATCTTAAATGTACCATCTACAGTTTTAAAATACACTATTTAATTTCTGCTGCCTCCAAATCTGGAGTTGCTAAATTTCTTTTGGCCTCCACCAAATACTTAGAGATGCTTATAATCAGATGAAATTATTGTAAATCTCTTTGGGGTTGCCTGCCACATCATCTCAGTTTGTCAGACTTCATCAAGCATTTCTCATCAACTTTCTAAAACTATTTAAAATGTACATTTAATTAATGGAATGAACTATAATGGAAAAATTCAGTTATCCTTTTGGTATAGTAAAGAAAATATATACATGAGAAATTTCATTAGGATTTCTTAATGTTATTCTAGATGGGATTTCCATCTAGCCTCCCCTCTAGTGAAAGATAATACTATTTAAGAAAATGGTGTTTTCAGCCAAGTGTGATGATAGCATAAGCCTGTGATTCTAGCTGAGACTGGAGGAATGTGAGTTTGACACTAGCCTAAGTCTACATAGCAAGACTGACAAAAAAAAAAAAAAAAAAAAAAACAAGAAAACTCTGTAATAATGTACGCCATATATTTGCTAAGAGATGGCATTCGAGACTGTCTTGAAGTTTTCTTGCAAGAGGTCTTCTGTCTTATAAGGAAGACCATATTAGCTGTACATTATGCCTAGAGCCGGGTTCTTCACTCTGATCTTCCTTATCTTCAAAATAGGTCCAAACCCAGACTCAATATTTTATACTGAGTAAATACGATATAAGCCATATATTGTTATGGTGCTGTCCTCTTGTGAGGATATCAAATAACAAGCATGAATTATGTACTTAGTATTAACTGTATCACATAGGTATTTAAGAGTTTTTGTTGTTTGTTATTCCATGAGCCTGCCAGTTATTGTTGCTGCCAGTTTGACTTTCATATGTCTTAATAGCTGTGGCTGCGATAATTTTGCCCAATACATCCAGCATTTAAATGTTCCATCATGTTAGCATCACAGTTAACTTAGTAAACAGCCTGCATAGTACCTATGCATTTCTTATCCTTGTTATGAGTCACTTTTAAAAAATTCATTGGGGTTTTTATGAAAATATAAGCAGATTTTTAAAAAAAAAAAAAACCGTCCAGAATTATTTTGTGAAGCAGGCTTCAGTTCATATAATTTATTCCCCATGACTTCTTTCATTTCTTCTGTGTGTCTGTCTTCCTGTGTTTGCCTGCCCCTCTCTTTCTCTTCTAACAGCCCCCTTGAACCAGCTGATGCGCTGTCTTCGGAAATACCAATCCCGGACTCCCAGCCCCCTCCTACATTCTGTCCCCAGTGAAATAGTGTTTGATTTTGAGCCTGGCCCAGTGTTCAGAGGTAGTTGGGCTCTTCTTTCTTGTTTTCACCCAAGCAAACTAAATATAAACTAGAGATTCTGTTTGTGCCTCACCCTCACAGCGTGTGTTTGTAAGTGTGAGAGTTTTGAAATACTAAATTTCTGCTTGGCCTGGCTGGAATGCTCTGAATGTGCTTTCACACATACTCACTACTGCAAGCTTTCTGTATGCTATCCATTATACATTTTTAAAGCAAGAACATTCTGAGTTGGGATTTCCATCTTGTTTATTGTTGTCTTATTTCTGTTGAGTCTTGATAACTTCTTAAATTCTGGGAGTCATGGGCAGGATTCTTTTTACTTTAGTCTATTAAATGGTAACGTCGATTACATAATATTAATATATTTTAAGAAGACAAAAATGTAAATGGAAGCCCCCCCACGAAAAGGTTTTTATGCTGGGCGTATTGGCTCATATCTGTAACCTTAGCACTTGAGAAACAGGCAGGAGGAGCATCCCGGCAGGTTTGAGGCCAAAGAGATTTTTATGAGACTTCTGACAGTTATTTGAGATTTTATAAGTAATTTTTTGTTCTTTATTTTCCCCTTATATGCGATATATATATGTATGTGTGTGTATATATATATATATTGACTAATAGATGAACATGAGTTCAGAAAAATTGAATCCATATATGTTAAATTATGCCCTCATGTGAGAGAAGTTAGTAATATAATTACATGTAGTCTTCTATTTTAACCGTCATATTTGAATTTATTATTAAACTAACTTTTAAATTTTAAAATAAAATTTGGGTATTTTATTTTAAATATTTTTTACAATTATATTTACTGTCTTGATATAGTGATCTATATTTAATATAATGATGGTGCTTTGGAGTTTTTCACCAACTTAGTTGTTCCATAGATGCAGTGATGTGTCATTCAGTACTCGGTGATGTCATAAAACTGAGTAATACAATAAATAAGAACTGTGCATGAAGCATGGGCAAGTTGTTAGTGCTTTATAATGTTCAAAGTTATCAGTGGTTTGTATAAGATGTATTGCACTCTATTTAGAAGAAATTCCAGACACCATTTTCTTTTAGAAAATTGCTTATGCAATCATAGAACTTTCTTATGGTGCTATAATATGATGTAACGGATATAAAATATCTGTCCATATTTAGCATTTAAGTTCTGTCATTGGCATTCTTACTATTTGAAAGAACATGACTCTTTTTTACCCTTGAGAGTAGTATATTTTATAATTTCTTAGAGATTTTTGCTACAGAGTGTAGAAATTCTGCCTGGAAGTCTCAGACCTATTCACTATACACTCTGGGGAGTCATTGCTCTAAACTCCTCTGTCCCATGTACCGTATGTGCTTCTGCTAACTGAGACTACTTATAAAACTCACTTGCCTTATGAAATATTGCTATATATCTGAAATACAACTAGGATGCTGTAGCATTTATTTGCTTACCTTTATAATACCAAATTTTTCAGAAAATCTTGAACACCTATTTCGCAGGACTGGAGAGATGGCTCAGTAGTTAAGAGCACTGGCTGCTCTTCCAGAGGACCAAGGTTCAGTTTCCAACACCTACATGGCAGTTCACCACTGTCTTTAATTCCAGCTCAAGAGGTTCCAACACCTTCACATAGATACACATGCGGGGATAATACCGATACACATAAAATAAACATAAATAAATAATTTTTACAAGGAAAGAAAGCCAGGCTCTGGAGAGGTGGCTCAGATGTTAAGAGCACTGGCTGTTCTTCCAGAGGACCCAGGTTTGGTTTCCAGCACCCACATGGCAGTTCCCAACCAAAAGGGATCTAACATCCTCTTTTGTTCTCCACTAGCACCAAGCAGACAAATGGTATGCATATAGTCAAAGCACCCACACACAAACAAAACAAAATAAAACAAAAAAATCCAATAAAATAGTAATTTAAAAAAAGCCTACTTAACTTTGTTTATATTAACTTTGGAATAAAGGTAACAATTTTTATTTAATAGAAAAAATTCCAGGGACCACTGACATTGTTCATCATCTATTAAATAATAGAGCTACAGTTTGAGATCTTATATAAACTTAGAGCTAATATGAAAGAAACATTTTAACAGTAAGACCATATTTTTTTTTTGTTTTTTTTTTTTTTTTCGAGACAGGGTTTCTCTGTAGCTTTTGGTTCCTGTCCTGGAACTAGCTCTTGTAGACCAGGCTGGTCTCTAACTCACAGAGATCCGCCTGCCTCTGCCTCCCGAGTGCTGGGATTAAAGGCGTGTGCCACCACCACCCGGCATGTTTTTGAAATATTGAGGCCGTTGAAATCATTTTAAAAATTGTTTGTTTTGTAGAGTTTTACATTGATTCTGTTGGCTTTTTGTTTTCATTTTGTTAATTATTTTCTTCGTTTCTTGAGACAGGGTCTCTGTATTTTGTATCTCTGGCTGTCCTGAAATTTGCTATGTAGACCAGGCTGGCCTGGAACTCAAAGAGATCCTCCTGCCTCTGCCCCCAAGTGCTAGGATTAAAGGTGTGGGGTACCATGCCTGTGCATTGATTTTGATGTTTTAATTTTTTTTATCAAAGGAACAAGAACCTGGTAGTAAATTTTAGAAATTGTGCACTGGTTTAAAGATTATGTTTTTCTAGATTTCTTTATTATCTATCTTAATGGTCATAAATTGGCCAGAAAACCAAAAGAAATTACAGTACCAATCACAAATAATGCCCCTTTTGGCCTACCCTTTGTAAAAGGCCAATATTTAAATATGCATTGCATTTTAAAGTCTAGATCTCCCCCACTTTCTTCCCCTGTTAAGTGAATGTGCTTGCTCCTCCTTAATGCTTGCTCCTCCTTAATGTGGATAATTTTCCCCTTCCTCTAATTTAGGGTCAACTACAGGTTTGTCCGCCACCCCTCCTGCCTCATTACCTGGCTCACTCACTAATGTGAAAGCCTTACAAAAATCTCCAGGACCTCAGCGGGAAAGGAAATCATCATCATCCTCAGAAGACAGAAATCGAATGGTAAGGATATGTGATGTATTTTCCTGTAATCATAGCCAAATATAATTTTATCATTTATATAAAATAGGCCTGTGTGATATAAAGTTTCTGTCAAATAAATTTGAGTTAATAGTTTTTTTTACATAAAGTATATTTGCACAAAACTGATTTTTTTTGTTCCCATTTCTAATTAAGAGGTCATTTTGAAAGGAAAATAATGTTATTCTGTTTCTAAAATAAGGAGAACAAGTATAAACAAGCATTCAGAAAGCATAATTAAGCATATATGTTCTAAAAACTGGCTCAGAATTCAAGTATCTACCAAATGACATTCTCCCACATTTGAAAATTAACTTTCTCCTACTTTTACCTTACAAAGGGAATTGGTATGTTGATTTCTTTTTATTTATTTTTTTCTTTTTTGATGATCAAATCAGTTAATATATATAAGGAAATCTAGCACCAACAGTTATCATAGCTTGTTCACTTAAACTTTTAGGAATTTGAAGCCAAAACTAGCCACAGATATAAAGTTGTTATTTTACCTCTATAGTCCTCCAAATAGTTAAAATAAAAAAACTGTTTTATTTTGATTTTAAGAATAACAATATGTATTTCAACATGTTGTAAGTTATTTTTATTAATTTTTAGTTACCATTTTATTATTTTATGTATATGGGTGTGTGACTGAATGTGTAAGTGCAACATTTACATGCCCAGTGCCGAAGAAAGCCAGAAGAGTGCAAAGGGTCCCTGAGGCTGGAGTTAGGAATGGTTGTGGCCTGCCTTGTAGGTGCTGGAACTCAAACTCAGGTCCTATGGAAGAGCAGCCACTGCTCCTAACTTGTGAACCATCTCTCCAGCATCAGTTATTTCTGTTTTTAAGTATTTTCCTGTCCTAATATTGACTCATCTTAATTTTAATTTTGTTATTTTGAGTCTTGAATGTAACTTTTGCTTCCTCAACATGGTGGCATTTTGTTGTTTTCTCCTTTTCTTAAAAGACCTTGATCTCTTCCTAACCTCCCGTCAGGCAGCAATATATGTAGCATGGAACATAAGGTTTTTCTTTTATTTGCCTTGACTTGACTTTTGCACTATATTTTTTTGAGAAAACACTTGGTAGACGAGATTCAAGTGATGATTGGGAGATTCCTGATGGACAGATAACAGTGGGACAAAGAATTGGATCTGGATCATTTGGAACTGTCTACAAGGGAAAGTGGCATGGTATGTATATTAGTAATATGGTGCCATTGGCACAAGTAGGATATGCTTAAAATTTTCTGTTTTAAAAATTTAAACCAAAGCTGGGTGTGGTGGCACATGCCCTTAATTCCAACACTGTGAAGGCAGAGACAGGTGGATCTCTGAGTTCAAAAATAGCCAGAGCTTGGGGCTGGAGAGATGGCTCAGCGGTTAAGAGCATTGCCTGCTCTTCCAAAGGTCCTGAGTTTAATTCTCAGCAACCACATGGTAGCTCACAACCATCTGTAATGAGGTCTGGTGCCCTCTTCTGGCCTGCAGGCATACACACAGACAGAACATTGTATACATAATAAATAAATAAGTAAGTAAGTAAATAAATAAATAAATAAATATTTTTAAAAAAATAGCCAGAGCTACACAGAAAAGCCTGTCTTGGGAGGTTGAGGGGTGGAGGACAAGCCAGGCTTTGTGACACACATTAGGAGTTCAAGGATATCTTTAGCTAAGTAGGAAGTTCAAGGCCAACTTGAGTGCTACAAGAGACTGTCTCAAAAACAAATACGAAGTCAGAATATTCACTGTTTGCATCATTAAACGATTTTCATCAGATGCAGGAGTCCTCCAGAAGTTCTAACAAAAATGTTGGAACATAAAAACTGGCTTCACAGTAGCCAAGGTTGCTGTCAGTACTTTACAGTAGAGATTCACAAAGATGAAGATCATTGAGCCATCCAGTCCCAAAGACAGTTTGTTTTCCTTTTAGAAGTATTCCTTTTGATACTTTTATGGGTATAAATCATAAATAAACATAAAATATTCAATATTCAGCCGGGCAGTGGTGGCGCACGCCTTTAATCCCAGCACTGGGGGGGGGGGGCAGAGGCAGGCGATCTCTGTGAGTTCGAGACCAGCCTGGTCTACAAGAGCTAGTTCCAGGACAGGCTCCAAAAAACCACAGAGAAACCCTGTCTCCAAAAACAAAAACAAAACAAAACAAAAATCAATATTCAGCATCACCAGTTTTCTTTCTTTCTCTCTCTCTCTCTCTCTCTCTCTCTCTCTCTCTCTCTCTCTCTCTCTCTCTTTTTTTGAGACAGGGTTTCTCTGTAGCTTTGGAGTCTGTCCTGGAACTAGCTCTTGTAGACCAGGCTGGCCTCGAACTCACAGAGATCCGCCTGACTCTGCCTCCCAAGTGCTAGGATTAAAGGCATGTGCCACCACCTCCCAGCAATCACCAGTTTTCTGAGAGTACAAATTCAAAAGATAGAAATCACAATTTTCCTCCCAAAAGAACAAATAATAATTTAAATTGATCACATGTAGTTTGTGATTATGATCCTGCTTATTTACCTCTTGGTGATGTGGAAATATGAAAATTTGGGAGACTGTTCATTTAGTCTGAGCAAGTAATTTGACAGTAATGAACAGGTTGATACCTAGGAAAGTTTACTCCCCAGAGGGATGGTAAAGATGGAAAGTGAAAATAGACTTGAACACTCACTAGTAGAAGGTTTGATGAACACATTGATTGATATATCCATAGGTGGTTATATAAGAGTCAGAATTACATAATAGAGCTACAGTGATATGGAAATGTGTCTAATATATTGAATTGCTTAAAGCTGCATGTGTAATACCTTCATGTTAAAGATCTATATTAGGGCTGGAGAGATGGCTCAGAGGTTAAGAGCACTGGCTGATCTTCCAGAGGACCTGAGTTCATTTTCCAGCAAATACATAATGGCTCACAACCATCTGTAATGAGTCTCAGTGCCCTCTTCTGGCCTATAGTGAAGGCGTACATGCAGGCAGAACACTGTATACATAATAAATAAATCTTTTTAAATATCCTATATAAAATTAACAGTATAACAATGCTATATGAATTCTTTATAAGGTTATTTTATATGCATTCAGTAAGTATACTGCATATACAGATAAACTTAGGATATATACATGCATATATATATATATATACACACACATACATGACAAGGGTTATTTCTGAGTGCCATAATTATGGGGAATTTTTTATCTATGCTTTCCTGAAACATTTAAGTGGTCAACAGTATTAGGTGGTATAACTGATAGAATGAATACTATATTACTTTGATAATTAAGAAAAAGATAAATGGTAGTTTTATATACATGTATATATATTATTTATATGTTCAGATAATTGAAACTCACCAAGTAAATACATTTGTGATTAATAAGCATAATGTTTGTAGCCTTTTAGAAGGTTGCTGCGTGCCCTCTTTATTCGCTCTCCTTGCAAAGATAACTAACATCCTGACTTCAGTAGGATATAATGTGTAGATTGTTTTTGTGCGACTCCTTTTCTCACTATTGTAAGATCCATCAGTGTTATTGGGTGTTTGTGTGTCTGTCATTCCTTCTCTGAGTAATATCCATTGTGTAACCATAACTTGATTTCCATCTGCTATATAATAAGCATTTGGGTAGTTTACAGTTTGGTGCTATTCTGGATGATGCTGCGGTGTATATTTTTAGTTACATGCCTTTGAAGAACATATGTGTATATTTTTACTGGCTATATGCCTAGCAGAGAATTATAGACCTACACCATATGCTTACTTGTGGTTTTACAGATATTCCCATCAGTGCTGCCAATTAATTGTACCAGTTTATACATCTGCCAGCAGTGTGTAAGAGTTAAATTTAAGCCTGGCCATGGTGGCGCAAGCCTTTAATCCCAGCAGGGGGCAGAGGCAGGCAGATCCCTGTGAGCTTGAAGACAGCCTGGTGTACAGAGAGAGTTTAAGGGAAGGCAAGGCTATACAGAGAAACCCTGTCTCAAAATAACCCCCTCAAAAAAAAGTTAGATTTAAAATACCATAATTTTAATAATTTTCCAGTTGACTTTATAAGGGAGTCATATTTGTCTCTCTTTTGGGTAACAATTTGCAAGTTTTTATTTTAAACTGAGCTCCACTGGACCTGTTGTCCATAGTTTCATAACTCACTTAGTAAATAACACCTCATTTAACATTGTCAAATAATTAAGAAAATTCTCTGAGTACTTATTGGCTAAACTAAATTCCCAGGAGAAAAAAGTTGACATTATTGTAGCTTATATCTTGAAATAGTAGTAAAGGATTATCATTGTTAGTAGCTTTGTGTGGGGGTTGGGAGATGTGTGTGTTCCATAGTATATATTTTTTAAAAAAAAAAGAAAAAAACAGGCTAGGCAACTTTAGTCCCAGCTTTGCACACAGGAGGCAGAGGCAGGTGGATCTCTCTGAATTCAAGGTCAGCCTGGTCTACAGGGGAAGTTCCTTTATAGCCAGAGCTGTTGTACAGACAAACCTTGTCTTGAAAAACCGTAAAAACAAAAAAAGAAGGAAAGTACAGTTTATTACTAGATAGTTAAATATAATTTCTTTTACTGAGATAATTAGCAAAAATGCCCAGGAACATTTCATATTTCATAATTTGAAATTTTGGAATAACAATTTTTTTTCAGGCGATGTGGCAGTGAAAATGTTGAATGTGACAGCACCCACACCTCAACAGTTACAGGCCTTCAAAAATGAAGTAGGAGTACTCAGGTGAGCTAATAGATCACTGTTTTCCAGTGGATTTACTTCAAGTAGAAAGACATAATGTATCTACTTACAGTTTCTATTCATATTGTTTTCCTGATTGCAGTATCATTTAGTACTGTATACAGAAGATATATTCAGCTGGGCGGTGGTGGTGCACGCCTTTAATCCCAGCACTCCGGAGGCAGAGGCAGTTGGAACTCTGTGAGTTAGAGGCCAGCCTGGTCTACAAGAGCTAGTTCCAGGACAGGCTCCAAATGCTACAGAGAAACCCTGTCTCAAAAACAAAAAAAAAAAAAAACCAACAAAAAAAAAAAAAAGGAAGAAGGAAATAAAAAGCCCTGGGCTCTAGGACTTGAGGAATATTGACAAATAAGAGTAAATCCATGATAAGAAGACTTACATAGGGAAAATTCTGGAGTTATAACTTTATGTAAGGGAAATGCTCAACAAAACTGAGATTTCAAAGCAGAGAAGGTATTCAAGAGGGTACATAGTTATATTGTAGAGAGCAGAACAAGGAAGCTAGTTATAGAGATTAGAGGAAAATGATTTTGCTTTTACATAAGAAAACTTCCTAATGTTTAGAACCACTTAAACACAAACAACCTCTACTTCCTCACTCAATATACTTAAATAATATATTTCTGAATAGACTAGATAATTTACTTTATTTTGTTTCTAGTACTTTTGACTGGGAGCATATTATTGGTGGACTGATGTGTCTCTCTTTGAAGAATTGTTACTCATTGTCACGTTTCTTCTTCACAGGAAAACGCGACATGTGAATATCCTACTTTTCATGGGCTATTCAACAAAGCCACAGCTGGCTATTGTGACCCAGTGGTGTGAGGGCTCCAGCCTGTATCACCATCTCCACATCATCGAGACCAAATTTGAGATGATCAAACTTATAGATATTGCACGGCAGACTGCACAAGGCATGGAGTAAGTTCAGTTCTGTTAAATCTTTATATATGACTTTTGAAAACCACTTATGGATACTTTAAGGCCCTAATAATACCTCTTACAGATTGCATTTTAAGTTTTTATGCAGGGGTATTAATAGCTAGCACTAGCTTATTAAAAAATATTTCTCTAATTCAGCCTTTAAAGTATATAAGGAGTGTAATATTTGACAAGAACTTTATAATTGCAAATGATGATTAATTAGTTCACAGTGATTTATGTGAACAGTGGAAGTATAGAAAAGCAGGACCTCTGGCTCCCTCCCCCCCTAAAAAAAATCCACCACCACTAAAATAAAGCCATTACTAGTTAATGAAAAATATGTTACTATTATCTGTGCTTTCAAATCATTTTCTTTTACATGCCTGTATTTTCTGCTGCAAAATGGTCAATTATTAAAGTTTTAAGTGACTATCTATATTGTGATTCTAGCTGAGAAATTCTGCTATGTCTAGGACTTGAACATTTTTCCAAAACAGTGTGATGGAGTGAGTGTGTACTCACCAAATGTGCCTTCCATTGCAGACAGTTTTGGTGTGTGTTGTGGGGATTCGCCCTCAGTCTAATCCCTAGAACATGTGTTCTGCCACTGAATAATCCCAACCTCTTCTTTTTGGTTCCCAGATATTAGCAGCCAAACCTGACTCCCTACAAGTCCTAAGAGTCTTCTCTAGGGAACCTTACCAGACCAGGAGGAAAGGGTATCATTCTACAATTTACAAACAATAAGCCAGACAATTTTCTAGTCCCCCACTTAGTCTGAATAAAACAAATTGTCTAATCTGCAGACGTTAGAGGAGAAGTCTGATAGACATGAAAGGCCAAAACATGGGGGGGGGGGATGCGCTGGGAGAACAGATCCAACGAAAGGAGACGTTACCATTCTCACCAAGAGAAAATGTATTAGTTTCCTTGGGGAGATTAAAAAAGATAAAATTTTAAAAAGAAAAAAAAAAAGGAAAACATTTGTAGCCAGGCATGGTGGCACGTGCCAGGACCCCAACACTTGGGAGACAGGAAGGAGGATTGTCTAGTCTACACAGCATGTTCCAGGCCAGTTAAAGCAATGTTCTGCCTAAAAATCATTGCCATTGAATATCAAAATGTTTAAATGTTGATACTTGTAGCCTATTGGAAATAGTGTTCTTTTCAGCTATTTTAACCTTTAAGTGTTAAAATTCACAAGGAATGCTGTAGTTTTAGGATTCATTTGAATTGTCTTCATCAAAAGAATTTAAAAACTACCAGGCAGTACTGTTGCACACTTTTAATCCCAGCACTTGGGAGGCTGAGCCTGGCAGATCTCTGTGAGTTCGAGGCGAGCCTGATCTACAAAGTAAGTTCTAGGACAGCCAGGACTTCACAGAGAAACCCTGTCTTTAAAAAAAAAAAAAAAAAGTTTAAAACTATTATGCAATTTTGCTGATTGTAGTGGCATACGCAGCCTGTAACCACTAGCACTTGGGAGCTGGAGGCAGGAAGCTCAGAGTCCAAACCAGCTTGTAATATGTTAAGAACTTGCCTCAAAACAACAACAACAACAGCATACTATTTGGTTTAATATTAGTTTTTCTGTGTTGTATTGCATAGTTCAAAAACGGGACTCTTAAGATTTTTGTTTGTCTGGGGTTTTTTTGTCTTTTTTTTTTTTTTTTTTTTTGGTTTTTCAAATCAAAGTTTACAGCCCTGGCTGTCCTGGAACTCGTTTTGTAGTCCAGGCTGGCCTTGAATTCACAGATCCACCTGCCTTTGCCTCCCAAGTGCTAGGACTACAGGCACGCACCACTACAGCCCAACTAAGATAGTTATTTGTTTTTGTTTTTGTTCCCCCTCCCCCCAAAGCGAGTTGCATACCAATTTGCATAAGTAAATATTTCCCCCTGTTCTATCATCAACCACTAAAGTAGATATTTGGGTATCTGGGGTTTTGTTTTTGCTTTTTGGAGGTTGGATTTTACTTAGCCCTAGCTGGGCTGGAACTCACTGTGTAGACGAGACTGGGAAAAACTGCCTCTCTCTTTTCCACTAGTGCTGGGATTAAAGGTGTGCGGTTCAACACACCTGGCTCGTATTTGTATTTTTTAGTGTTGTATATATGTATATGAAAATAGGGTTAGAAGATACCGAGTTCAGTGGTGGTTGTCTCCAGCAAGGAAAAGATTTCGTATAAACTTTGAAAACGTAGAAAGCAAATGTAAAAATCTTAACAGGATTAGTTAGGGTGGGAATATGAGTGATCTTTGCACTATCTTTTGTTGTTGTTTGTCTTAATTTCAAACTAAACTTACTTCAAAGTAATAAAAAATCATATGAAAAATGTAAACACAAATATATGCCTGTAATCTACTATCCAGAAATAACTGGTTTTGATGATCTAATACGTTTTGTGTGTCTTAATAGTTGTGTATATTAATACTGTACACAATCGTTTTGTTACTATTTTATAATTATAGAACCAGGCTTTGCCTTCCTTTTTACTCTTTGCACATCATTGCTGATTAATAAATACTGTTTTCTGATCCCAGTTCTGCTGGATATTATTTACTCACTAGCTCCCTCATTTATTTAAGTGCCAGATATATTTGTAGTGCTTCAGTACAGTATTTGTGTATTAACAATTATATATGCCCTTACAATGTATCAGACATTGTTCTGTATATTTTATATGTGATTTCTCACTTATTCTTCAATAACCAGTGAGTCAGTGCATATAGAAAGACCATGTAACTTGCCTCAGACACTTGGGCTCCCCAGTGAAGGCCTTTGAGCTTTGTACTATGTCGCTTTTCCAAATTATACAACCCTTTTACCAGCCTCAGCCCTTAATGCCATACAATATTTCCTGCAGTCCATGGTTCATTTACTCGTCCTCTCTCCTAGACACCACCATTCCTCTGTCCTCAGACCCCAAGCCCCTTCCCTAAGAATATCACCTGATGATCTTGCTTATCATTTCATTAAGAAAATGTGTTGAGCAGGAAGGGGTAGCATGCACTTACAGTCCCATCCTGGGTCACAGAATGAGAGACCCTTTTTTAAAAATAGAAAAAGAAAGTTCCCTGGGCATCCGTGCTGTTAGATCCAGTGGTTAAATTCTTAGTCTTCCGTTTATTTGATCTGTCATAAACAGGGTACAGTTAATCCAGTTCTTTGGGTAACATTCTTTGTTCTCTGCTTAATCGTATTCTTAATCTCTTGTTAGTCAAGATGGTCTGAGTAGCATCTGCCTGGGAACCCTGAAATTTAGAAATACTGAATTGTAAACACTACCTCAGATCTTCTGAATTGAATCTACATTTTAATATGATCTACAAATGGTTCACAAACATATGAGGTTGAAGAAATCTATACCAAAGCATATTTTTCTGATTATCCCACTAGTAGCTGCTTCTCAACTGATTGATCCTCTGCCCCTCTGGGATCTCATTCAGTTTTATGGTGTGAAAGAAAATTACTTTAAAATCAGTTCAGTACCCTTTCTGCTACTTCATTTCACTTGTACTTAAGACTCTCATGTCAGACTGTCTGCTCAACATGTCTGCTTGTCTAATGTCTTGTGTTTACTAGATCTTGAACTCAGCTGCTGTCTTCTCCTCTAGCCTGTTCTTCAGCCCTGCTGTTCTTGCAGCTGCTCATCTCAAACATCATACAGTGATCCTCGAGTCCTCTCTTTGTTCATGCCACATAACTCTCATTTTATCTGTTTTTTGTTGCTGCATTGAGACAGGGTTCCTCTCTATAGTCCTGGCTGTCCTGGAACTCACCGTGTAGACCAGGGTGTGCACCACCACACCTAGCACTCAGTGTATCGTTTTGTTGTGTGTGTGTGTGGGTTTTTCCTCCCCTTTGTTTTTTTCGAGACAGGGTTTCTCTTTAGCTTTGGAGCCTCTTCCTGGAACTAGCTCTTGTTAGACCAGGCTGGCCCCGAACTCACAAAGATCCACCTGCTTCTACCTTTCGATTGCTGGGATTAAATGCGTGCACCACCACCACCCGGCTCGATATGTCTATTTAAAAGAATATCCAGAGCCTTATAACTTCTTGTCAGTTATTTAAGTTATCTTCCTACTCAAGCTCCCATTCTCATACCTGAATTAACTCCTATCTCCCAGTTTCCACATTTTACTACCTCAATTTAGTTTCGACACAGTGGCTTGTTTGGCCCTGTCAAAACAGATTGTGTTGCTAATCCCCCCATATTTCTTTTGTAATGAAAACCAAAGTTCTATGTGGGGAGAGTAAAGTTTCACAACTAGGCCTGTCTCGCTGCACCTAGCACACCGGTGGTCTCTCCATCCCCTCCCCCAGCTCTTCTGTTACTTCTCAGATTATCTGTGCTTTTCATCCAGGCAGTGCCACACTTTGCCTTCTTGCTATTCTTTGTATATGGAAGCCCTGTGTCTGTCACAGGGCTCTGTCCTTTTCTCCTTGTCCTTGGTATAGTCTCATCCCTTAATGTGTACTATCTTACCTCATTAGAGGTCCTCTTTCACCTAAAAGTCAACCCCTACAGTTCAGCATTCCCACACATACCTGGCACAGTTAACGGTATGTGGTGCACTGTGTATTTTACTGACATAATCTTTTATTTTCTATCTTCTGCACTACAGTGTTAAGTACCTTGTTTTATCTCTAAGACTAAACAAGAACAGTTGTTGGGTAGCACTTACTGGGTTTTCGTTAAATATATAAAGTAATTCTTGAGAATATATCAAAATAAACACTATCATCTCCATGTTACAGATTAGTGAATTAAAGCTAGATTGTAGTCACATGATAATGGCACATGCCTTTAAGCCCAGCACTTGGGAGGCAGAGGCAGGTGGATCTTTGAGTTCAAGACCAGTCTGGTCTATAGAGCTAGTTTGGATGACAGCCAGGGCTACCCAAAAACCCTGTCTTGAAAAACCAAAAAGAGAAAGATTATAAGATGCTCCTAGGGTAATTAACACAGATGGAGATCAGACCCAAATCTGAGT